ATTCTTTCATAAGAGAATAATAGAAAAGGCTATTATGGTACTTGTAAAACTGTCGTAGTGGATAAAGCTTTCTAACTACAGGGTGATTAAATTGATGGCTATAATTCCTAACATTTCTGTAGCATCAGATTATTTCTTTCAAAATAGGGTGGTGCTTAATTAATGCTGCAGTGTTTACTATTGTACTGCCCCTCAGCAATCTTGCAATAATGTGATACAGGTATTTAACCCCTGCTTCCGCGAGTACTTAACCTAGATGAAATGAGGCTAGATCAGGCTCGACAGTGGGAGCATACAATTTAGGTTTTCAGAGAATTTCTGCTAGGCCTCAATCCCAGTTTACCCACGTCGTTACTAGTTTCACCGATGCGTTGTGCATATTATTTGTTACCTTAACACACAGTTGCGATACTATTGATCCAGCTCACACAGCATGCTCATGTTCTGACTGAGCAGGACAGTCCCACTACTAATACTCCTGTAAGAAATGTGTTGGAGGCTGGACGGAGGTGGCTACCTGCTCCAGTGAACAAAAATGAACCGGTAACAATTTCACATAGTATTTACACTGTGAAAAATGCTTAAAAGACAGCAGGGTTGCTACAAAGACTTTCGTTGCTTTTTCAGGTTTTCACCGATCAGCGGAGTTATTGCATATTGCACGTTCAACGTTCACAATATCAATTTTTGTGAACAATATTTGTCTATATTTCATGAATAATCCAAGACGGATATACAATCACGTTGCGTGGGAGGTCATTAGAGTTACAAATTCACCATAATGTCTATTTTCAATCTTAAACGTTATTTAGAGTTGGCACAAATTTCAGAGGGTACGCAGGAATATGTGTTTCGAGCTTTATCAACCGCTAATGGCAACTACATGTCCTTAGGAAGGAAAATAGGTCTTTGACATGCACAAGGTTCCGTGAAATATTTCGCATAAGTTTTATCACCGTTTGTCAGTGTTTCTCAATATGGCCTTCACATGTTAGGTCAGGTGGTGCTTCAGCTGCAACGAAAAAAAATGATCTACCCGACTGGCTATTTAAGGGGCATGGCCGGTGGAAGGGCGCAATTGCAAAAGATGGGTACATTAAAACTAAAAATGACTTTCCTCTCCTAAAAAGAAGCCTTTCAGTAATATTCAAACCTTACAGTAACTATGAAATGGGCTTCAATGTGTTTTCAATTGTGACAGCATTTGTCGTTTAGGGGAGACATAGCAGCTGTTTATATACATCTGTGCACAAAATAAGCACCAACCTGTATTTTTACCAATTAATTTTGTCTGAAGTGAAATTCTTAAACTCTTTCCCAAAAATAGCCTTTATAATTTGATAGAGCAAGCATTTAACATTTCAAAACGAAAACATCATTGACATTACCTTGTACTTTAAATAGGAAAATTTCCTATATTTAAAACGGGTGTTTTTCTGTCCTAAAACAAGTTAACTTATTTTGAAAAGTGAAAGTAATAATTGATTGTTGTGTGGCCTATACATTCGTTATTTATTGTGAATGGATGAAAGTTTGTAAACTAATATTGAGGAAACCTTGTAGTCAAACTATAAAAAGGAAAATTTTAAAATGAAGTAAAAGTTGCTTTACAAACAAAAACAGATTTTAGCTGTAATTATCAGTATCCGGCAAGGAGAAGTGTTTATTTATTTCAATTAACTCAAAATCATTAAAAAAAATATTTCAAAATCTTATTGATGTGGCCTTTTTCAGTTTTGTCAATTAGCAATCTGAATTGTTGGAAAAAGGTCTGAATCTTTGACATTAGGGTCTTCCTGATTATGCATAATTAAAGCTTACTTAATGTGTAAATGCCACCTTGGTATATAACAGAATTGTTATTTTTAGTCAAAACTTAATTTAATTGTGTAGTTTGAGCAGGAGAGGAATAGTTATTTTGTGTAAAAATTCAGTCCCATCACATTTTCATCAACATATTCTTTCATAAAGAATAGAAAAGGTTATGGTATTTGTAAAACTGTCAGTGGACCCTGCTTTCCGCAGTACTTAACCTAGATGACCACCAGGACACCAGAAATAGGGTTCTTACACTACCCATGTTGTGAAGCAAACCCGAACGAGTTAATGCTTGAACCACTATTCTACTCCACCAGCCTCATGTTACTGTGAATAATTGCAAGATATAATACCAGCAATATAGAAGGTACATCATACACTTTAGTGACTTTACATACCTAGTGTTTCCTTATGGCCTGGTTCACTACAGGACAATAGGTTTTCACATCCAGCTTACACTTAACAATACAACTGACACTGTTTAATTTCATTTATTCCATTTCATAGAACACCTGTCTCAGGGGTGATTGTTCTCTTCTGAAAAGGGTTTGGCACATCCCTGTTCACAGAAACAAACATCATCATAAATAAGTTAAATGTCAGTCTTTGGGCAACATTATTTTGCTGTGAAGAACAACAAACTAAGGACCATGTTGAAGCAGGTTGAAAGGAAGCCTCAAACCAGAGGCCCTATGAAAACCCTAATATTTACTATGAACACAAACATCAAACTATGGACGTGTCATAATTCTTATATTTAATATTAAGGCCAGACCAATTTTATATCTTGATTTACAGTTTTTGTCCTCAGAAAAAAGGCAGGAGGAAAAAAATAATCACCAGTCATAATATTCCTTCTTAATACTTAAAGTATTTCACCTTTGGCAATTTATGAAGTGTATATGGGGCAAAAAAAAATTACAATCTAAAAAAGATTTTCTTTTAAGTTTACAAATTTGGCCAATACAAACATTAGGATTTTATTTTTTGAGAGGGGAAAATTGATTTTTATTTTATATTTTCTTGAAGAAAAAAAAAAAAACGACCAGCAGGTCTATAAAACAAGAAATAAAATTGGTCTGGCCTAAAGTAAAGGTCAAACTCATATAGTATCAACATTCACAATCACTGTATTACAGAAGATGCGTAAACAAATATTTCGACACAATCCCAAGCATCATAACATCACTTTGTTATGAAATATAGAACAGCAAATGGGACCTCGAAGAGTTCAAGGATCAGATACAAATATCACAGAGTTTATGTTTCAGCATGTAATATCAGATTCCACTGACACGAATCATTATGCGGACACAAGTACCTACAATGTCATGTTTATCACATGGGCGTGTCATGCTTAGAAACAGCGTTAGAAAGACATATAGGTATATAGACCCTACCCTAGTACTATATAAAAGGATCCTTTTATATAGTACTAGGGTAGGGTCTATATACCTATATGTCTTTCTAACGCTGTTTCTAAGCGTGACACGCCCCTGTGATGTTTATGACATTTTCACAACATGTAAAGCACACTCACAAGTGATTGCACTTGAATAACAACAATCATTACACTCGTGGCTCAGCCTTTACCATAACTGCATCAACAGCTGTGACATTTACAGGAAATAGTTCCAATAATCAGAAAGGTTTATTTAATTCTGAGAACACTTTAAATAAAAATTTGAAATGTCTGGGTGGATTTTGAGATCACAAGCCACAATTTGTGACAACTTAACATTTGAAACCTGAAAGTTTGACAAGAGTTTGCTTTGCACCAATGAACCATTTATACATTTAATGGCAATCTCATTAAAATAAGATCTTAGTTCACTGAGCCAAAACAACATTGGTACGGCTTAAGAAAAATCTGTGGACATCCCATTATAGGTCACTGCAGAAAGACTTTCCAGCCAGCCAATCAGAGCATGGCTACCAGATCAATCAGTTTTCAGAACATGTGATCTTTAACACTGAGTATGTCCAATGACAGCTACAGGCTGTACGGTGGATTTCATGCAAATCATCGTCTTATCACTCTGTTCTGTGGGATAAACATGAAAACTGAAGACACCTTCCATTGCTCATGGGAAGTATTATATCGTCCATCCATCAGACATTTTAGAATTTTCTACTGTTCAGATTTCAATTTTGGAATTAAGAACATTATGTTTTCAAAGGTCATTCCCTAAAGCTTGAGCAAGCTGCTTTCTTACTGTTATTCCAGCACTTTGATTCGATTTTGATGAGACTGATTAAACCGACAAATGGTATTCATCTTTAACACAACACTATGAAATGTAGATGTAAGTACCATGTCCTTGGACAGTAGCGTCGTGACAAGATGGCAAACATACTCATTACAATCATTTGAATTATAATGTTTTCCTGACAACTAGTTCAACATTCTTGAAAAGTTCAGAAACAAGTAAAACACAACAGGTCTCCCAAACCATCTAACTTTCAGATCTGTAACTGTATATGTGCTAAGAATTCATTGTAAAAAGATCAGCTGAAGATCAGGAACATGGCAAGATTTGACCAGTTTAATACCATACTTCAGGCCAAGAGAAACTATTTCACAAATTACACACAAACTATTTTCTACTCTTATTCAGAAAGATCACTTGGACAAGGTAAATAGCTAGAAATGTCAACATATTCTATAATGAGAACAAGGTTTGCTTAAGGCCAAAGTGTATACATGTATAAATATAAATTGAAATCACTGACCAGGACTTTCACAAGAATAGTTATTATTCTACCAACACTGTCTACCAACTCTACTTCCTACTCAGGGTTAGAACTTGATTACTAGCACTCCAGCCACAGGCTAGTACAAATTCCTGTACGCTACTACCAATTTCACAATTTACCTATATTTTCACATTTTAAGGGCATTATATCTTTACCCAGCTAGTTGGGTTTAGTTCTAACCCTGCAACTGAAACAATAAGCACCAGGCTGTATTCAATAAGGGACCGTTCATAATTTATGGCAAGGGGGTGGTGGTGATGATTTTAAGGGGGGTCACCCATTTTGTTCTGGGGTGCGGGACGGGGTTCAGCATTTTGTACACATGTACTAGCGGGGGTCAGCAATTTTGTACACAAAATTATTAAAACATTATGCTTAAAAAATTGGGGAGAGGAGGGGGGTCATTGATTTTGTACATGACATGCTTTATACATAAATTTTAAGGGGGTCAGTCACATTGTACATGCTTCTCCATAGAAATCATCACCCCCCCAAAGCCATAAATTATGAACGGTCCCTAACAAGTCTATAGAAGACCATAAACCACACATATCAATTCATCATGTCAACATGTATGTACAGTTAGCCTTCAGTGCATCACACAGACAAACGTCTGTATTCCCCCGGGTCAAGGGGTTGTTGCTGTAGTGTGCTGCTGTAGATGTTTCACTGCTGAATGAGGTAGATGATCTCGATGGGTCGACTACCATCAGTTGACAATGCAGCATGGAAGGGCAATGAAGGGCACCAGATTCTCCAGAACATCAGGTGTGAGATGGAGTTCCACCTCGGCATCTCTCTCTGGGCGTGAAGATATAGAGCAACCATATAAGGGTTGTCTGTCACGATGGTCACCAGTGGAAATTTCCTGGCCTGGTGTGTTCAGTTGACGCTGAAGGATGGAGAGTGTGTACTGCTGATGGCTGCCAGGAGTGGATGGTCACTTGTATCAAACCTGGACATGGCACACAAGATCATTATAACATAACTCACAAAATGGGTTAGTCCACGCCGATTCTATGCACATACAGCTATTTTGCTCACCTGATGCCATGTTCAGTTGGGTCATGCAAAACAAACACTCTGCCAAAACCCTTCTCCGCCACTACTTTCAAATTTCATGAATGCTATGTCCCCTGCACACCCTGTCTGTACTGACCAGTATTCCTGAACCAATTTCTACCCCAGAAATATCAAAAGGAAGAAAGAAACATTTCTTTGGTGTCACAGATTAACAATGTATCAGAATGAATGAAATATTAAGTATGCTTACCCCAGCATGTGAGCAAGTTCCTTCATGTTCTTCCGTGATGAACCTTTGACGTACTCTGACAACATCTGACTCTTGAAGTAGATTTCCTGCAGACGGTCCTCCACATGCATCAGACACTGAAAAGAAGGGACACCAAATTAAATCTGCTACTCGATCATTTTATGAAATAATAGCTGCTACTATTAATGGTCAATCAAAGACATGATTGAGCCTTCATGATGCTCAGAATGGTATTTCAGTCATATCAAAGCATCTCAAATAAACATGCCTACAAGGAGGGAAAAGCCAACAGCGACATAAGTAGACCTTGGCATAACCTCTGGGTATGGGAAAGGCACTGTCAATTTGTAATTCAGTAATGTTTCAGTGTTTGCACAATAGGATGTGCAAATTAAGATCAAGTGTGATCAAATTGCAGCCATTTTGAGCACCAAGGGTTGTCGAAACCCATAACCTTAAGATCCTTGAAGCCATGGGAGGCAACTTTGCTGAGCTCATAGATACCTTTCACATGTAACCTAAATGGAGTAACTCAATGAAAGGTATAAGTATCCCAAACATTTTGTCCATTTAAATTACTGCAGCTAGAGAATTATTAGCTACAATTTATAAAGACCCAATATAACTTGATTAGACAAATGATACTGACTTCAACAAAATCCCCACCAACTTTATACTTACAAATTCTGGACTCATCTTCAACTTCCATAGGCTGAGCACAGATTCAATGAGGTTACAAACAAGTTGTGATGTCATCCAGGTCATTGTAGCAGACGGCGACTTATCCAGCAGACGACTACTTGCAACCTCAACCGTCCTGAGGAGGAGACGTACAACAGAGTATAGAGAGGGTAGGGAACCAACAAACTCAGGCAAACAGTCACTGGCTGAGTGAGTTCATGACCAAAAGACAGTGGCAAAACATTTAATCATCCTGAAGTCAACATATCACCAAGGTCTTTGGATATGGAATCTCGACCAGGCAAAGAGGGGGAGATAGCATGAGAAAAAATAAGGAGGACCTCTCTTCATTCCAGTGATGTTGCTGCTAACATATTGCACCTGGGTAATGTCACAATAAAATCTGTTTTGTTAGGGCTTTTTATTTTCTTCTATGTCATTACCAAATTTGATACCAAAAACAACTTTTGGACATTCAGATGGTGATAAGTCAACATCCTAGAAATTAAACTGATCTCACATCAAGTATTTAAAGAAGAAAAATAAGTCATCTCTCACAAAATTGTATCTCGTCAAAGGATCTACAGACACAGGAAATATGTCAGAGGATTACTGACTCATCCAAATAACCTTCAAGAACATTGTTTTCGAAACACAAAGGACACTTTTCATCGTTTACAATGTCTTGAAATTATCCCACAACTCACCAATTATCTGTGTCTGCCACAATACACACAGCCTCGCCGATCGGTTCATCAAGAACAGAATTCTGAAACAGAAAACATTTTTGATAACACACTACTTGTGGGTGAGTGATTGTGCTCCCATTATTTCATCAGGATGTGTCTGTTTAAAGTGTTTGGAAAGCCCAAAGTTGTTACACAGGCCAATGCTGACAACCAAGGATCATAATTTGCGTGAACCTAGCACGGAAGACTGACTTATGGAATTGGATGCAGTTGTAGAAAGCGATCTTAGTGCTAAGGTGATCGTAACTCTCATACTTTTATACAACTGGCGTAGCGCTAAGGTTGCCTTGTACAACGGCACCTTGGAAAAAGCATATTTGGTTGTAAAGTTCTCCCTTGAGTACAGATTTGAATATTTATTATAATTTAACGCCCTCGTATAGCTGCATTACTGCCGAGTGTAGCGTTAAACAACAAATAAACCTCACAGAATCTAAATGATAACAACCAATCTCACCTGAGAGGCCAACTGTAAGTCATTGAGCATCTTCTGACGGAAGTTCTGGTCTGAGGTGCCGTGAAGGACGAAGTCGGACATGTAGTGATCGGAGTACCCAGCTAAGAGCGACCTTCCGAAGTTTCTATCGAATGTCTTGATGCTAAACGGTGACACATCTGCTGGCAAGCTGTAATGGAAAGATTTCACTGACATCAACAGAAGACGGAAGTTTCATTTGAAAGCAGTTTTCAAAGGTGGTCCCTAACAGTCAAGGTACTAGTAATCCGTAGACCAACTCAGGCATGTGAAGAGGATAGGACAAATTATTCACTGACAGCTACAGAAACAGTTCATGGTACTACTTCCCCACAGCAGGTAGATAATTATCATGATTTGATTTCCTGTTATATCATGAATTATATTAATAAACATCATGTGAAATTGTGTTTGATTTTCAAATTCATCCATATTTTCCATGACTGATGAAGATTATAGATTATATTGATCCTCAACATACTCAGGCATGGGGAGCTCCTTGCAGTGGTTGATGGGGTCGAAGGGCTCCACGTCAGTGCTGCTGGCAGAGGAGAGATGTCGTCTTCTGCCTAGCTCCGTGGGTGTTACCGATCTGAGGAAACAGTCACCAATATTAGACGAGGTGAGAACTATGATTAAGATGACAGTGAAATATTGAAAATTAGAGTCCCAAGTCAACCTGTCATCAAATTCTGCTTCCGCTACATGTACTAGATTAACCTTCAGCAGTGTTGACATAAATGTAATAAAGTAACACCCTCAATGATCTCCATTAAGCCTTTTAATTTGTTTGTTGCTTAGAACCACACCCATCAAAATGTGCAACAAACAATGCCCTGTAAACAATGGAATTTGGGCCAGACAATGAGGTGATTGATGCTGTGAATAATGATCCTGGCTGACATGATGTCCACCAAGTCATCGAGTCTGCCAAACTGATCCAGTAAATTGCCTCTTACAACAACCAGCGGTTGCTTGGGACCCCACTGGCGCTAACAAGTCTGAAAAGGTCAAATTTCTCACCATGATGTCAACCCCAACTTTGACTGATACAGACTCACCTGCATCTGCCTGGTAGTGTGGTCGGTCGAGTAGAAAGACCAACTTTGTCCATACTGTTCTGTCTCGACATGGACGACCTCTGCTGCTTCTGCAGCTCGGGTACAACATCCTCCAACACCTTGACACCATCAGTCACTCGGGGTCCATCGGTGGGGCTGGCAAGAGGGTGGTTGACCACTCTCTCATGATCAGCCACATCATCAATAGTCTTTGCCTCTATCCCATCCACGAAATATTCCTCGAACATGCTATTGGAACCTTCCTTCTGAAACATTTTTCTCACCTCACTAGTGCTCAGCTTCGGATCAGACTCTGACCCTGAAGATTGCAATTGCTGGGAAAGAACAGACACTACTTTGGCACTAGATCCTTTCGAATCAGACACCATATCATTCACAGTCCCATCACTTATTCTACCATTCTGTAACACTGAACCACTGTCTTTGCGGACATGATTCACATTTTCCACACGAAGACTTTCCATGACCTTAGCTGTGGATAACCTACATTCCTTGGAGTCCATATTTCCTTCTTTGTCCATTCCAAACACAGGGTCCTGCCCATCAATGACATCACCACTGTCAAACATTTTACCACCATCTGTCACATTATAACCATCAATCACATTATGACTGTCAGTCATGTTACCTCCGTCAATCATGTTACCTCCGTCTATCACAATTCCTCCATCTATCACATTACCTCCATCTATCACATTACCACCATCAAAGACATTCACAGAGGTGTCTGAATTGCCAGTTCCCCTTTCCTTCAGAACAGATCCCACATCTTGAGATTTCTTAACACTGATATCAGTCAACTCTATACATCCCCCCAATCCTGTGATAGGTCTTATCCTGCACCTCCTGCAACCACTCCTCAGTCCGGCTACGGACCCGCTTCAACTTGTCCATCCTGTCTCTATCACAGTTACATGCCCCTGACACATGCTTCTCCGTCAACGCAGAACAGCTGTTGTTGGCATTGCCCTCCTCCTCTCCAGGGCCGAAGTCTAGGATGGTCTTCTCGCTCTCGGATGGGGAGGTGTCAAAGAACATGTCATTAATGAAGTCATCCAGCTTCCCTTGCTCTTTTCGCTCATGGACGTCGCTGCAGCGGATGAAGTAGCTGAGGACGTACAGGAACTTCTTGACCAAGTCCTGCTTGCGGCCCACCACCACCGTCCTGGCCAGTTTTAGGGGGAAGCCAATAGCACCATATAGATCCCTACAATAATAACGGAACCCTGTAGTCATACACAGATATCTCCCAAGCAAAATCACTACATGGCACATACACTTGTGAAAAACACCCTTACCAGTTCAAGAAGATCCCACCACTAAAATATTAATATAACATCAATCAATTTTATGAAACAATTCTTGAGGTAACCCAACTAAACTTCTTAAAATACTCATCATAAATGCATTACTATTGTTGAGCTAGGCCAACATTTATGAATATCAAATAGGAATTCTTCGGGGTGGTGGGGTAGCCTAATGGTTAAAGCGTTGGCTCGTCACGCTGAAGGCCCGGGTTCGAATCCCCACATGGGCACAATGTGTGAAGCCCATTTCTGGTGTCCCCCGCCGTGATGTTGCTGGAATATTGCTAAAAGCGGCATAAAACCAAACTCAGTCAGTCAGTTAGTCCAACAGTCTTCAATAAACCGAATGTTTAAAACAATAGTTCAGCACTGAACCAATCACATTTACACAACACTTCCGAGTGAGTGAGTATGGCATAATGCCACTTTTAGCAATATTCCAGCAATATCACGGCGGGGGAAACCAGAAATAGGCTTCACACATTGCACCAATGTTGGGTCTTCAGCGTGATGAGCCAACACAAAAACCACTAGGCTACAACACTTCCGAAAGTCTGATGGGGGAATTTAGTGTTGGAGTTGGCACATATGTCAGTTGTAAGAGTTACCACTAACAGTATTGCTCATGAGATCAGTTATTAACAGGCTGGAATCTTACTGAGTGTTGCATAAAACAACCCTCACACTATAGTTATGAACAAAACATGAAAAATCAGGCAACACTTACCCCAACTGTGCCCATAAAGGATTGTATGGATGTGTCTTTGCCAAAGTGTCCAGCTGGAAATTGAATAATTCTTTGTCAAACAACCGCATGGCTCAAGCATTAAATTAACTCAAAACTATTTTTCACCATGGGACCTTTGAAATGCCCAGTTCAATATGTTGATACTGATATTTCTAATCAGTGACCTTTCTAGGATGAGAGAGCAAACATTTTCTAAAGCCATAGTCCTGTAGGGAATAACTGAGTATGTGACAAGATTGACAAGCATACCAGTCGTGCATCATCACCAACCAACCCTATTTATTTGTGGGAAGCATGGCTTCCAAAGACTGAACCTGTGGTTTTGTAAACAATTCAGTTCTAATGTTCTCAGCAAGCACATGACAAACTTACCCACTTCGCAGAGTGTTTTTCCAAGTAAGTTTTAGAGGATGTTCCCCCGGCGGGTGTGACGGTCGGGACCCAGGCTAGGTGATGGGTGAGCACTGCCGACACCAATGTACTCACAAAACTGCAATCATCATCATCATCATCATCATCATCTGTACGTTAATGGCATCATACATTAATAATGTTAGCCCCCCGTAACATATGAAGCCACAAAATATATAATAGACTTAACTGGACACATTTATAATTTTTCGTAATTTTTCATCATCCACTATCTATCATGCCATCAACTAAAGCAAAGGCGAATTATTCAGAGTGAGTGAGTGGGTGAGTATGTCTTAACGCCTCTTTTAGCAATATTCCAGCAATATCACAGCGGGGGACCATTGCAATGGGTAAATTATTTAGATCAATAAGAAAGGAAAACATTTAAAAGGTACACTTTGTTTCATTAGCCAACTCCTTTACTTGTATTGCGTGCATCAAGTTGTCAAGAATAATATATAAAACATTTATGTAAGAAAGAAATCGTTCCGAACCCTACTCAAGTATTGTTAGGTTTAAGTTTAGGTAAAAACACATGCAGCCGGAAAAAATTATTATAAAGGTTTTCTCAACAATACTGAAAAGAGTAAATAACTACAAAAAATACAAGCATTGTACTGACATCCCAAACTATACTCTCAATTACAAGCTTACAAGTCCAAAGACTGAAAGGTACTATTTGTGCAGTATTCAATGACCATCAAGAGTTGTCTCCCTTCCCTTACAGTACTGCCATAAATCAAAACAAACTTACAAATTGGTTGACTTGTTGTCAAACTTGGCAGCCAATGACATGAATTCATTGATGAATTTTTCACAGAACACATAGCGATGGTTACTGAATGACATCATGTTCAGCCACACTGGATCTGGCAGCCTGGGGGCTGTGTACAAGTCATGCACATCATTCCGCGGAATACATCTAGTGCCTGAAAATATAACATTTGTTGACATGAACTTCACCGATTGAGATAATATCATATCTTGTCAAAAACTGCTCAACTCAAGACCTTACAAAGGAATTAAAGGAATTAACCAACTCTTAACATCTAGGTCTGGTCATATTGTATACTTAATTATAAAATGTTCTCGTCACGATATGGCTGAAATATTGCCGATGTGACGATAAATATTAACTCACTCACTCATATTGTATACTTGCAATTTTCTACTTATGATTGGTATCCATGACAACCAAGCCATCATCATGAAGATTAAGTTTACATTTTTTCTGGTTACTTCAATAACTGTGATTTTGTCCAAAGTTACATATGCTAGTCAAAGGTTACTTCATGGATGGGTGGTCAAGCTTTTTGATGAGTTGACCGAATCTCACCATATTGCGACAACAGACCTTTCCTCACAATATCACTCACTGGATAGTCTGGTCCAGATTAAAATATCCACAGAACATACAATATTTACAGTCCTATACAGTCGTATAGCTGAGAGCAGAGCTACACAAGCAAGAACAAAAGCCTGCCTACCTCCATCACCATGGGAATGAATTTCTGTCGATTGAAATACGATCTCTCCACCAGTGCTGCCAACCTTTCAACATGACCCTCGAACAACGTGATGTGAGAGAAGAAGAAGTTTTGGAACAACCTGAAAATCACAACAGCCATTTGAAACAAGGAATAAATTCAGTCAATGATTAATTTAGTTTAGTTGATATTGTTGATATTGTTCAAACCTGATTAATATATTCATCAAATAAGAATGTTCGCAGAATATCATCAGTTGGAGAGATGTGGGGTAAAATATGTATCCATCTGATACATCAGAACAGTTTCCAAATGCATCAACAATGTACTTGTTCTGTTTTTAATTGTAATTTAAGTAATGCTGGAAGCATCTTTTGATTTGATTTCTTTGTTATTCCCTTTATTCTAATACTTACTTGTCTTCTTCATTTGAACCAAACAGAATTCCAAGAGCAATCTTGCATTTTCTTTTTCTTGGAAGAGAATTCTGCAAAAACCATACACATGTATTCCACAGACCCAGACCCATAATCATAGCTCTCTCGTCTCTCGTCAGTATATAACTTATGTGTAATAACTTCAGTCTCCACATAGAAAAAAATAAAGGCCTGAATGATTAATTTTCAGCGAGTGTTTTAGTGTTTGATTGTCCTCAACTCTTTTCGCCATATCCATGGTCCCACTAACTCAAACTGCTTCCAGTATCCTACCTCCTGTTTCTGCAGCTGATCCATGGATGCAGTCTTTCTGCTCAAACTCTGCAGTGATGTGGTCTGTGTCCTCATCCACCGTCGATGTAGGCTGTTGTAGCTGCTGGTGCTGTTGCCACTCGGGGACGGCACCGGGGTGTGGAAACTTCCACTTGATGTAACTGTACAGAGACAACACTGGTTCAACATTTAGATGCAAACATTTTATAATGGCTAGGCTACAGGCAACAATGGTTACACCAACAGAGGGTGAGTGAGTGAGTGAGTAAGTGAGTGAGTGAGTGAGTGGGTGAGTGAATGGTCTTACGCCACTTTTAGCAATATTCCAGCAATATGATGGTGAGGCACAGCAGACATGGGCTTTACACATTGTACCCAGTGGGAAATCAAACCCTCAAACCCATGTCTTTGGCATAACGAGCAAACGCATTAACCACTACGCTACCCCACCGCCCCTTTACACCAACAGAAAGTCTAGACCAGAAGGAAGTCAGGGTTAATATGCCTGACAAATATGTTTATCCGATGTGAAAGACTGGGTAAGTGCTGATTTGCATCAGCCTGAGTATTCTAACTACAGTCAAATCCCGATGAGTAGAATCGCTGGGGACCAAGTAATAAATTCGACTTATCGATGTATTCGAGACATAAGTATGTCTATGAGGGTAGAAAAAAAGATGATCCAGTCCTAATTTCTCCGCCTAAGCATTTGTTTATCTAATGATTTCCCTATCACTAATAGGGGCACCTTATCAGTTCCAGTCTGATTAGCACAGACAGTGATTTCCGTAGAATCACTAATCTGCCTTTTGAACTCACCCGTCAATGGCGGAAAGGTGTGACCAGGGCTGGTTTGTTAATTGGATCAGTTTGCTACACCAATCAACTTCTCATTGACTGACTTCGGCTTATGTATACAAGATTGCTGATGGTGGAATCTCATGGGACCAAATTTCCTTCTCGAGTCATCGTGTGTATTTATGAGACGAATTCGTGTAACCAGTATTCAAATGATGACAACTATAACAGGGAATGGTCGGGACCGACAGGTACTTCGAGTTATGCATAATATTCGAGACACCGGCATTCGACTCATCGGGATTTGACTGTATGTCACAACAGCACGTAAATTTGTAACAGAATCTGCACCAGTGATTGATAGCAAGAACAACCATTCAAGCCACTGGGTATCCATGAATAAGCTTATTCTGCATGAAAACCATACATGGACTATACAAATGTGTCTTTTCACTTACATGATGCAAGGCCACTGTCATCATCAATGGAATCGGTAAAACTGTCATGTGGGGACGGAACTGCCATTGGCATACTCATAGCTGAAACAGTACAAACTGCATTAAAACTTAACTAGTAGCAGTTTGGTATGTACGTGATAAACAATTCTTGAGGTAACCAAACGAAAATTCTTGAAATAATTATCATTTACATCATTACTGTTGAGCTAGGCCAACATTTATGAATATCAAATAGGAATTCCTTAATGATATTACAAATAAAATCCTTCATAGAATCTAAATATTGAACAAAATACTTCAAAAATCTGGATAATCAGTTGTGACAAATTTTAACTTACCCATGTTGGTTCCAGAGCTGGTTCTGCTTGAAATACTTCGTGGCAGAGAGAAGTCTCCTGTGTGGTAACTGCATGAGTCACTGTCCAGCTCACTGCAAAAACAATCAGATATTTTATGACATAATGAATGTAACAGAAAACATGCATAAACATAACAACTTTACAAATGTTTTTTTTTAATAAGTTGACTTATTCTCTTGACGAGAACTGTTGATAAACTTACCATGATTCTCGTTTTGGTTTTTCAGGATAAAACACCTTGCTCAGCATAATTTGTGGAGGGGACCTATAATACGGAAAATGACAATTACATCAGCATAATTCTAAACATAAGGCATAATGATTGATGAAAGATTGAATGCTCATAATTTAATGTAATTCTTGTTATCCTTTCATTATCATGAAACACTTAATTCTACATTTTTTCAAATATTTACCACCTGTATAACATGGTATAATAGGATGGGGCAAAAAATATTCTGCATTATTCCAGCTGTATGCGGGTGTCTGTAAATAAACCTGACGACCTGATCCAGTTATTCGACTGACCGCCTCCGTGGTGTAGTGGTTAGAGCATCCGCCCGGAGCGCGGAAGGTCGCGGGTTCGATCCCCGACCGCCTCATACCAAAAGACGTTAAAATATGGTACTTGTTGGTCCCTGCCTGGCGCTCGGCATTAATGGGTACAACAAGGAATGGTCGGCTCGGAGTATAATGGGTCTGAGTGGGGTATTCATGCTTCACTGCGGCATGGTATCTCAGTGGGCTAGCACTATAAAACCAGCTTCAGTCTGGGCTAGTACAAGCAGCCGCACATACACATACACACGCATGCATATCGTCATATGAGTGAAATATTCTCAAGCACGATGTTAAACCCAATTCCACCACCACCACCACCAGTTTTTCGACTCTTAGGACAAGTGGTTGCGGAAGACCAATTCTAACCCGGATCTTTGATCTAGATGAACATGGTATATATACATAAAATATTATCAGTATTACTATAGTTTTTATCATGTTTATTGCAAACCAATTGGCAGCTGTACCTGATAAAATGCACTTTCAGTGTGGAGCCTTTGTAAGCCATTCCCACGGAACCAAACATCATCTCCTCCAACACCTTGCTGTCACTGCCAAGCTTGGTAAACTGAACAGTAAAATATCATGTCACCATTGTCATCTTATCACGGTCTTACTACATTTATACAGGCTCAAATGCACTTCGGAAATACCTGAATAAAAACTTATTTTTGAATTCATCTTTTGCTGGATGGTCTGCCATTTGCATAGAGTAAGTCTGACACAACCAAAGATGGCATCATCTTATCACTGACATCCACTGTCAGTATAAACATGTCACTACCATTTTCAACTTTAGCAAAAACGAAACTAATACATGTGATAAAACAAGGACAGTGGTTCTATTTACTTGTGTTTCTTAGACTGACTGACTGACTGAGTTTGGTTTTACGCCGCTTTTAGCAATATTCCAGAGAGAACGTCGACATGATGGCTGGAAGCTTGTTTAAATAAACAATTAAACATTGATAAATGTGTTTTTTGTCTGTACTTTACTTCTACAAAAAAATGTAAAATTACTCGAAATTTTTTTTTATTCCTACCTACCCTACATTTTAAAGAGCTGTAATCGGAACCACAAGATATTTTTTATTTGGCCTAGATACTAGATTGGCATATTATCAATATTAATTAAAGACAAAATTGTACATTAGTTACAAATTTGTAACAGACATACACAAGTTTCAGAGCATAAAAGCACTGACAAAAAGTGACTTTAGATAATGACTAAATATGACAATACCTGATATTTGGGAGCATTCTTCTGTCCTGAATGGCTGTTGTCTTCCCTCCCACACAGCCTTCTAGTTGGCTGCACAAACACAAAACACAAACATTTATAATGTTTTCTTCACCATATTCCCCAAAATTGGTAGGACTGATTGTAGAAAGACATCACAATCAATTATCTTGAGTTATTTTTAGTCACTTGTCCTGTATCAAACAATAATAGATCTCTATATGGAAAAACTTTCAAACTTTAAGTGCTATCAGCCAGTCCTCAGACAAATCTAACCAACACAAGCTTTGGTTGACACAATTATATTAATGCCAGTTAATAATTCTCATATGCATCTCTCTTAATTTTTCATATTTTGTAAAATGGAAATGAAAAACAGATTTTACAGAATAAAAGTAATACCTGGTCAGGAGGGTCATCTAATTTTTTTATGGAATCTGAATCAAACATGGGCGTCCTTCCCTTGTCATGGTCGACGTACACAACCAGGCGGACTTTGCTACGATCAAGTTTCGGGGCATTCCCTCTGCAATCAGAACAAGAGTGATGAGCAGTGAGGATTCCTCATCATGTTTCGACAAAATGATGCAGTGATAGAAAAGAGATTGCAGAAGCTTTAGCAGAAAACAGTTTCTGTAGCCATGTAAATGTATTGTTAGTTTGACCTAGTGCTCTTTGGGAGTATTGACTTCAAACTGTTTTTGCATTGTTGGAAGTATACACACTTGGTTTAAATCTTTGTTTAAATCTGCATACAATCTTCCTGATCTTAAGAAACAAAACTTTTTTTCATTTTTATCCATTTAAATTCAGAGGTATTTAAAAATGTAACACTGTATTTTGATATTGAAGTCAAAGCTATAACATTAAACTAAGCATTAAAAATCTCTTCCTCTTTGACGACTGGTCCTGTCAACAGTGTTAAACAGGCTGCTACTACAAGCAGATAAAATTACTTATGTCTTGTACATTAACACCATAGTTGAAACAGAGTAACTCTAAAAATAGATCATTTCCATGCAGGGTCACTTTAAAATGTGAATAAAATTGTATTTCAGTGATATATTATCACTATTATTTATTGTCGTACTAGTATAATGAATATGTCCTTATATCACACAAATAACCATTTAAAGCTATATTAAATGATAACACTATGGTAAAGATGTATTGATTATGTTAAAATAGTAATAAATATTACTGATAATACACCATTACAATTTACAAATATGATCAGTGATAACAGCTTTGCTAGCCACTTAACATGCTTATTGGCAGGCTTGCTCATCAATAGCTACTGCTAGATGAAACTCATTATAGCAAAGATAGAGCTGTCTGTGTACACATTTTGCAACTTCTCAATACACACAGGTGGTGGTGGTGGTAAAGTTTTAGGGCGACATGGACCAATAAGACACTTGCCATGAATTATTGTCTCCCTTTCATAAAATAATAACTTTCTGAAAGTCCTTCAAAACATGTCCACATAGATTGCATTTCAGCTGAGGATTGCATACTGCTAACAGTTGCATGAAAAGGTACATGACTATTCACTGGAGTAGAGGATGACATCAACACTGAGCAGGCAAGCTACACAATGGTTATCAATTTGATTGTTGAAAATGTTGCCCTACATTGAGATCCCAGTTAACCTAAAACTTTGTGAAATAACCACATTAACACTGAAAGAAAATTTGCCCATAAAAATATCAATGCAAGCAATTAGCATTAAAAGAAAAGTATACTAAACATATAATAGAAAAGTATACAAAACATATTATTGATCCTCACTTTCATTTGTCACATTGAGAGATTTAAGAGACATTTATTCAACATGTACATCAACACAAAACATTCACCAAGTTGAATATCCGCATATGTATGTAAAAGGAAATCCAACACAAATTTAAAGATCCATAAAATTTGGTATAGTTACTGAGTAATCACAGTTAAATATGTAAACGACATTTACAAAAACTTCAAATTAAAATAAAGATAAATGTAAAATAATCCTCACCGAAACTTCCTGGAAAATGTCAAATCATTAAGAAAATTGTCTTTCAAAACTGCAGTGGAGGCTAATATTTCTCCAAGGTAATTCTTCATTTCGGATTTCATCCCGCTATATCATTCTACCGACTGCTTACAGTCCCAGCTAGACTTTGACAGCGCAGTATGAAGTCACATGCCTTGTGCCATCACGTGAAAGCTGTCAATACCTGCCGAAGGCGTGAATGTATTGTCCAACCTGGCTTACATGGGCTCGAGCTCTCGCGCGGCCTCGGTCACTGCACCCGACTTGGTCATGTGAATGTCATATGCTTTCGAACAGACAACTGAGTCACTTACAAATTTCGTACTACAGCATTGGTATGAGTTTACGGAGAAGCGACGTGTCTTATTTGACATTACTTTATGAAACGTAGACAGCGTTTTATCACATGAAGTTTAATCAGTTTATATTTTAGTCAAACTGTAAATGGGACGGTGAGTGTTTACAAACAGCATGTGACACAACAACTCGTGACTTCTCACGAGGCTGTTCGAGCGAGTTCGGGAACCTGTTATTACAACTCAGGATGGAGATCGGGTGTTGTATAACGGCATGATTTCGTGTACTTACGATACATTTGGCTCAGATCCTGACCATCTTGAACCAGAATTCCTACAAAATTTTCTGGGTTGAAATAATCGCTGTAAAAGAGCCATACTGACTCCATTTGGCTAACGTCACGCGCTTCTGAACCGTAGTAACATGTAAACCGTTATGTGATTGGTTGATTTGTGGGAATTCCCTTGTTGTGATTGGATACAGGAGACATGAGGCTCTCAATGTTATGACACTTATTCCCGCCAGACAGGGCACGAGGAATTCTTTGCATTGTGTATTTCTGTCGGAAATGTCATAAATTTCATAAATGGAATATTAATTTCTCAAAATAGTTGCCTGTAATGCAGCTTCTCGACTGGAGCCGTTCGCAAGCTGAGACGAACTAAATATAAGTTAATGCAAAGTTAGGAAAATGTATGCACGGTACGCTCATTGTATACTTTTGGATCTATGTATGTATACATGAACTCACAGTTTCCGTCAAGCATTTCTCGAAAAACGACGTCAACCGACCCGGCAATATTTATAATGATTTCACTGAATTTTATAAATAAATAATTTATTAGAAGACTCAAATAATCCTTTTAAGGGCAATATATCTTTTATATTGTTACATCGTATATATAGAGAGAATCTCACCCAAGTGTCTTCTCATATCAAATATATCAACACGAGTTGATTAAAGATGCAAATATCCGAGGCTTGGCGAGGATATTTTTACTTAATCAACGAGTGTTGATGTATTTGATATGAGAAGACACGAGGGTGAGATTTTATTTATTCCTCAAAATTATTCTTCATCAGTTATCAGTAAAAGAATGAATTTATCTGAACACATAACTGCCATTAGGCGTCTTGAGCAGTGACCCCAGTGAGGTCATAGCATTGTTACGTCATCAACTTTGTGACGTCATATCATTGTCAGCGGCGTTCATGGTGATGTCAAAACATTGTGAATTCATTATCTGACTATGTAATAGCATCATGACAATTCAGTTGTTGCGATATCTGCAATGTAGATATCGCTTGATCTCACACATGCGATATCTTCTGTGGGAATCCGTTTTGGATGATAAATGTGTTTGCTGGCAAAAACCGATACACACCGACCAGTATAAATGTACGAGGTTGAAAGATACACAGTTTTAGTGTCTTAGTTTTATGACGTACGGCATAAACTGAGAGGTGATATATGAACTGTGGCCAAACGAAGTGACGGTCAATGTATATATACCTTGCAGCTTTATGAGAGTATCCCTATCAGGTTGAGTAGCACTGTTCAGATTCAAGGGGCAGAGGGGTAGCTAGACTAACAACTAGTCTCTGAAATGAACTTATTTTACTGAAAATTGTTCATAGTAAAACAAAATATAATATAATGAAAAGAAGCCCCGAGACTTTCTTCATTTTCAGAAGCTGAAGCTGAGGAAATCTAGACTTGCCACATTTTCTAGACTTGCGTGGGCTTTCTTGGATATATTTGCTTCAGGGTCTGTACGACAGACTAAGGGTAGCCTACATGGTTAGAGCGTCCGCTCGTCACGCCGAAGACCGATTCGATTTCCCACATGGGTACAATGTCTGAAGCCCATGATATTGCTGGAATATTGCTAAAGGCGGTGTTATACTCACTCACTCAGATTCAAGAATATTGTAAACTTAGGACTCATTTTGTCGTACTTTCGGGGAAGAAGTAAGCATGCATGTGTGCGCCAGAGATTCACTTCCTTTTCCAGGTCACACCTGTGTAAACTATGCCACATTTACTGCGATATTGCGGAAATATTCTAAAACATTGCTCGTACGGACGGGCTCAACACCCGATCCAGGGTTTAGTTTTGTCTGATATTATTTTCAAGAAGTGAATTAGGCTTAACATGTCTCAGTTCCAAACCAAAAGTGCACCATCCCGTCAGATTATCCTCATCATTTGAATATTCTTATCAAATGTTGAGTAGTATTATATATTTCCATAAAAACAACGCTAGCTATGGTTGACCTTGAATGTATGTATATGCTTGTACAAGTGTTTAACGTTTAACACACTATACAAACGTCAGCAGTTAAAAAGTTAGAACTTGAGTAATATCAAAAGGGGTGGGCTTTAACTCCATGGCAGAAATGCGTACAAAGTACAGTTATACAAAGGCGGTCGGTAATTAACTGAGGATGGACAATAATAACAGTCTGGTGAAAAATCCACACGACCATAAGATAAGGCTTACTTAATGGTCCTCATTCCAATAAAAAGGACAATGCTGAATTTAACCAAGAGTCTTTCGATAGTAGAAAGAAAACATGCGTTCGGTGTATATAATACACACGTGTGTCCGAATGTATTTTAAGGATGATTGTTTGCATAAGTTCAAGTCAGACTCTGCCTATTCGAGGTCTGTCTGTTAAAAAGGTGAGTCAATTGATCCGCAAGAAGTTAACCAATTGAAAATCTCAGTAAACTTGCACACCAATACTTAGCAATACGATAAACGAACACATTTTTATTTATTTATCTTTTGTTCCATTCAAAAGGTCCGTGTAGCCCATGAAGGCTTAATTTAGAGGTATTTGAAAACATAATATATGTAAATTTTTTATTAGGAATAAGTTGGGGATAAAATCAGTTCGCTCTTTTCAGCACTGTAGCAGTGCCACAACGGGTACGACACGTTGATCATGTGGGGAGTTTAATCAGATACGGTTTCCCTATAAGCCAACATTATAAATGGCTGCGTTAATTTGGCGGCACCCGGAAATGAAAAAATAAGTGGTTTTGATTATTTCCGCTTTATTTTTGAACTCATGCCCTACCGACTGCTCACACAGTTGCCTCCTTTCTGTGTCAGTACTGGCTTGAAGACTGTAGGTACTAGGTACTAGGTAGAAGACTGGTCTGTCTCTCAGAACTATATTGTTTTCCCTACAGTCTAGCCCTCCTACAATGCTATTTTAAAGCCCTAAATGAAGCAAGTCTAGATTTCCCCCTGTTCAAATCTCTGGTCTCCCTGGGGCTTTTTTTCAATTTAAATGGGTTTATTTGTTACAATCAAAATTATATATTCAGAGACTAAACGTTAGTCTAGTAGAAGACTAGTGAAATATATTAACGTTGTTCTTTCTTAAGATTTCATGTGTTAATACACTATCATATATACTGGACAAAAATAGTTAGGAATATACGTAAATTTTGAAATTATGAATAATGATCTATTTATTCATTGACACACTGATAAAAACTCAATCATAAAAATACCAATATCCCTAACTTATTTTGACCAGTATATGAAAGAGCAAAGAAACGTTTTAATGACATGGGTGTCTAACTTTGTGGCCGTAACATCTGATTCAATCTATTTGATTTACCATGATGCTATTCTTTGTTGTTCTCTGTTTCCTTTACTCGCAGTGCAACCTGTGTTATTGAATCAAATTCTGCTATTTGACAAATGATAAACAAAACAAAACAAATTAGTTTTTTAAAGACAGGTGTACAGATCGAAGTTACAGATGATTTTGTCTCCTTTTAATGTAGCTATGAACATATCAAGAATATTTAATTCTGTCTTATTCTAAACCTACCGACCCAACTACATACATGTATCACTGTGGCCACTCTCTTTTGCTCTGTAGTGTAGAATAACATTTTAGGAACATGAAATAAGGCATGTCTATAATCAACAGAAATTTTCAAATTATTCAAATGTTTGCATTTTATCGTTAGAGTTAGATTAAGTGCCCTTCTTCGTAATTTGCCATTGTGCAAACCCTTTCTCAAGCTGTGCATATTCGACATGCTGTGCAGTGTAGGGTTAAACCCAACTCACTCACTCACCCTTATTAGTGAACATTTGAAAACTATGTTCAATAAAAATCATTTCAAATGAATTGTATACAATTGAGATACTATATAAGCAATTAGCGTTTACAGGTATCACTCACTAATTCACTCACCCGTGTGAGTAAAGCAATGAAAAATGTTTTAATTAAAAAGTTTCAATAATTTTTAATGAATTATTTATCGTTTAATTATATGTATATAGCTTCCATATGCATATCTATATGCTATTATGCGCGTTTAAAACAATATACCACTCAAATTATCTTCAAATACAGAAAAAATATACATAAATCATAATGATTATGCTGTATCCCCATCGGACACGTAATAGATAGCTCAACATGCTCTAAATATACAATGTTGTACATCGTCATGCAACTATCTCTGACACGTCATATGAATGCGCCGACACCATAGTTGTATTTCCATGAGTGAACTATCGAGAACCAATCGACCTCTCACGAAGATGACAACGCAAATTATCTTAGGTGTCCAATAAGTATAGATAAGGAATACAATCCTTTGCTGTTTGCACACACCATGCCATTTATTGTCCCGCCGCAACGCGGAACGGGGGACTATGTATCAGCGGCGTACGTACGTACGTCCATTCGTCCGTCCGTCCGTACGTCCCGATTCTTGTTAACGCGATATCTCATAAACTGTTGTAACCAATGTCTTCTCATTTGATGACAGCCTACATTGGGGGATTACCCAGACACCAGTCGATTTGGGTGACCTTGACCTTATCTTCAAGGTAACCAGCACACTTTCACCACTTTTCAAACACTTCTTGCCAGGTCACGTGGTGGATATATATAAACTGATTTACAGATTTGTACTCTAGTTTTTAAAGACAAACGAAGTCAACTAAACCTTCATATAACTACTTATTAAACAAGTTATTGCCTTATTAATTGAGAGACGATGCGGTAGCTTAGTGGTTAGAACGTTCGCTCGTCCCGCCAAAAACCCGGTTCGATTCCCCACGTGGGTACAATGTGTGAAGGCC